TTTGCAGCGGTTTATATTTTATTTCTGCCAGTTTCAATCCTTCAGAAACTCTTCTATACTGAATGGTTTTGCCTCAGTTAGGAAAATTAAAGTTAAATGTCATAATGTTAACAATAATAATAATCTTTGCCTTAATGTCAAAATACACTCACCGGCCACTTTATTAGGTACACCTGTCCAACTGCTCTTTAACACTTAATTTCTAAGCAGCCAATCACATGGAGCCAACTCAGTGCATTTAGGCATGTAGACATGGTCAAGACAATCTCCTGCAGTTCAAAGCGAGCATCAGTATGGGGAAGAAAGGTGATTTGAGTGACTTTGAACGTGGCATGATTGTTGGTGCCAGAAGGGCTGGTCTGAGTATTTCAGAAACTGCTGATCTACTGGGATTTTCACACACAACCATCTCTAGGGTTTACAGAGAATGGTCCGGAAAAGAAAAAACATCCAGTGAGCGGCAGTTCTGTGGGCGGAAATGCCTTGTTGATGCCAGAGGTCAGAGGAGAATGGCCAGACTGGTTGGAGCTGATAGAAGGGCAACAGTGACTCAAATAACCACCCGTTACAACCAAGGTGGGCAGAAGAGCATCTCTGAACGCACAGTACGTCGAACTTTGAGGCAGATGGGCTACAGCAGCAGAAGACCACACCGGGTGCCACTCCTTTCAGCTAAGAACAGGAAACTGAGGCTACAATTTGCACAAGCTCATCGAAATTGGACAATAGAAGATTGGAAAAACGTTGCCTGGTCTAATGAGTCTCGATTTCTGCTGCGACATTCGGATGGTAGGGTCAGAATTTGGCGTCTACAACATGAAAGCATGGATCCATCCTGCCTTGTATCAATGATTCAGGCTGGTGGTGGTGGTGTCATGGTGTGGGGAATATTTTCTTGGCACTCTTTGGGCCCCTTGGTACCAATTGAGCATCGTTGCAACGCCACAGCCTACCTGAGTATTGTTGCTGACCATGTCCATCCCTTTATGACCACAATGTACCCAACTTCTGATGGATAGCAGGATAATGCACCATGTCATAAAGCTGAAATCATCTCAGACTGGTTTCTTGAACATGACAATGAGTTCACTGTACTCAAATGGCCTCCACAGTCACCAGATCTCAATCCAATAGAGCATCTTTGGGATGTGGTGGAACGGGAGATTCGCATCATGGATGTGCAGCCGACAAATCTGCGGCAACTGTGTGATGCCATCATGTCAATATGGACCAAACTCCCTGAGAAATGCTTCCAGCACCTTGTTGAATCTATGCCACGAAGAATTGAGGCAGTTCTGAAGGCAAAAGGGGGTCCAACCCGTTACTAGCATGGGGTACCTAATAAAGTGGCCGGTGAGTGTAAGTTTGCATTGATAAATTTTTGCCACAATATAGCAAATAGTATCTAGTAGCGACCCAGATTTAAAAAATAGGACTAAAGAAAAAACATATAAATAGATTGTACGAATAAGTCATAATTTATAACTTTGACCACTGACCAGTCTAAACTCATGTTTCTATGAGGTTCTCACATGTTTATCCCTGTAAAAGCTGTTTGTTTGTTTTTTACCCAGAAATTAAAAGCTATAAAATGAGTCAGATATTCTATAACAAGAGAAGAAATATCCTAAATCTGGGTTCCTCCATATGAGAGAGAAAATATTCGGGTTATGTTTTCCATCATCCTGCCTTTTATTCTGTTTAGAGCTCTTCTTGTTTCTTTTTACCAACATATTACAACATTACCACATTTAAAGTCAAGCTTTACAAAAGAGCAATACATAAAACTGTCTAACTGCAGAAGGATTATACTGTTAATGCATTTTATAACTTTAATGGCTGAGGATCTGAAACCTTTAGAGCATTGGGCCCCATGCCAGAATCATTCATTCGCACATATTCCTTCTTAAATAGTATGTACAAGTGATTTAGGAGAAAATCACTCATACGTACTAATTTTCCGATTACTCAAGATGGACTTAGGAGTCTTGTTCAATCAGTCAGCTGTTATCCAATCCCAATTTATCAATAAATGACAACATTTGTTGTTTCTTAAAAGCAAATGTTCGTTTTAATAGGCTGCATCAGTATATATTATGCAGCTCTGCAATTATTAATGACATTCTTATTGGCTGATGAAAGAACTATGGGTCACTACACCTGCAGCTGGCATGTCGGTTTTCAGGGACTCTGGTTTCATTTGCTGTCAGTTTGTCCAAAGAGAAAACAGTCAGGGACTCTATGTGAGGTCAAGCTACTATAGAAATAACATCTGGAACAGAATATGGATGAAAGCTCAGCAAAGCTCCTAACGGTCAGACTTTCATTTATTTCCCTTCATGGCAGCTCCTTGGCTTTGTTATCACACTGAATGTGGTTGTTTGGGTCTGGTGGAGGAAAGACTGTGTCATTGTCAGAGGCGTGGGAATTTGTAGCCTTCTATGGAAAAATCAGGGAGGTAATTATGCAGATTTACATTTATCTTATTACTCATTTACGGCCTACATCACTTTTATGAGGACAATTTCCAATAATTATTGCAGTTATTGTTTGTTGAATCTGACTGTCATGTAAAAGCCCACAGTAGGAGAAAAACTAAGAGAAATTTACCATAAGTATATGAAGATGTAGTTGCATCAGGCCCATTGATTCCCAAAGCTGGGGTCGTGACCTCAATTGGGGTTGGTGATCAACCTGTTGGGGTCATGAGATCCGCAACAGAAATTAAACTGAAAGACAAATATTTATGTGTAAGTGCTTAAATATATAAAAGCGTCATTTAAAAATGGACTAAACCAACTACTCCGGTTGCAATATTATTCCACCTGTAGTGGATTAATTTTGTACAAAATGTTTGTATATATTGCCCACAGTTTCGGTAATGAGTCGAAGCTGATTAGTTTTGTATCCTATGCTCAAGTGCTTGCTCATGAGAGGACAAAGCATGCTTGAAAACCAAATGGTTGGTGTGATCTCACAGAATTAATGCAGTATCAGAATGTTAAAGTGCAATTAGCACCAGTTGTTGACATGCTAAAATTGTTTAACCTGTCCTCAAATAAAAAGCATTGGAATAAAAATATGTTTATTTGTCTTCAGACAGAACAAGCTTAATCATTTAAGTGGAATTTTGCAACCACCTTTTTTTACAGTCAAGATTTGGGGAAGGATCTGTCTTCACTCCAAAGTGTGAAATTAGAGTTTTACCATGTGAGGCCAGAGAGGAAAGATCAATTTAGGGGCCCTGCTGGAGACATTAGGACATCCATACATCCACCTTACCCTTATCAAGATTGATTTAGGGAAAAAAAAATGTAACAAGAATAATTGAAATGTAGAAAATCCAGTGGATATACCTATAAATAGGACCAATAAGACAGTCATCGAGAAGCTGGTCAGAGAACTGACCAATGTGCCAAAGAGCAAAAATCCACCTTATATGCATTATTACCGTAAGAATAAAAGGATACAGTACATTTCTTTTGGGAAAATTACACCAACTGGCAGCCGACAAAATGAAAAAGGAGAGGTCCGAGAGCAGAGCTTTGTGGGACACCCCCCAGAAAGATCAGTAGGCTGCATTCTGTAAATTACTTTTGTAAAGAAAAAACAATCTAATGTTCAACACTTTGCAGCAGAGCACCCTTTTAATGCATAGACCAGAGTGCTAATGTAGTTAGCAAACAGGAAGACAGCAGCAGAACTGATTTATGTGCAGACACATTTGATGTGTGTTTGATTTCAGACTGTGAGTGATGCAAAGGGCCAGATGTAGCCAAGGGGCTGTAAAAATGCCCTTATAAAAAAGTCTATCCAGTGTCAGTTTACATCATATCTCTTGAACAACTAAGGTGGTTTAGTCAATTTTTCAAGTCACTATAAACTACGAATGAATTAGTTGAATATATTAATATGTATTTCATATGATATTATGCGTTTGAAAGTGCTGCACTGCTCTAATTGTAGCACCCAAACACGCCCTTCTCTAATTAAGATTCAACAGACAAATATTATTTTATCACCAATGGAAAAGTTTTTTTATTTATAAGCATTACCTGTAGGTTGCAACCTGATCCCAAACGAAAACTGTAAAAAATATTTCATTTTGGTCCCATATCTGATGTGTTGGGTCAAAATTTTAATCTATATTTATTCCAACTTAAAGACACTCTGATTTGATATGCTTTGCTTTATTTGCAATCCAGTACATATTGTTTCATCAGTGCTGTTTTTTTAGACCACTGCATTTCTCTTTTGCCAACATTCAGCATCCCAACAAGATCAAAAGCAGATCTTTATTGTGTTTTCATAAACATGTTGAAAATATGCAATAAAAAAAGGGTTTAATTTGTCTGGCAGGTCGCCTTCCTTCAGATGAAGAAATAAAACAGAAATAAAAGGACCTCTGAAATCCAGCCGTAGTAGATCCACCTGGGTCAGCCATTTACAGCTGAACAGGAGCAGCCAAAACAAACTGTGTTCACTCACAAAGCAGCTGGTGACCAAAGTTTTACATCCGGTTCTGGACAATTCTGTTTTTTTTTTCTGAAGATATAAGCATGCATGAAGTAAGGAGAATTATGTAAGGAGTTTATGGCTGTCCACCATAGACCTAATTTTCGCAGCAACACATAGACGTTAATCCGTCAATGGAACTGAAAAGTTTTGACACAATGCAGACCACCCATGCAAACTTTGGAGAAAAGCTGATCTAGTTAAACATCCATGATGGTGTGAACTGTTTTTGTCTTGCAGCATCTTTAAAATATCCTGCTGTTTCCCAAAAAAGTACCTAAAACCAGATGCAGAGGTTTCAAAACAGACATTTTTGAACTCCAGGCGGTAAACTGAACACACGCATTCTCCTGCAGCTTGACGATCCGTCCCACAATCCTCACATATTATTGACATGTTTCAGAAAGGTTTCCTGCTGTCAGCAGATTGCGCTCAGATGGAGATGGGGCTCAAGGAAGAGCAAAAAAGAGGCTCGTGTCTCTTACCCAAAAGCCCCCCCAGGAAGCACAGGGACGGTTGCAGCATGCTGGTCGGCTTTCCGCAGGGCTCTAAATGCAGCACAGTGTGTTCGCACAGATACACACACACACACGACACTCTTGGGTGTGCAGAGGGGCACGCAGGGCCGCCCCGCCTCAGGTCTTCATGGCAACCTGTGAGCCTCTCTCAGACAGACTGAGACAGTTCACGGCTCCAAACTCTGCAGCCAACAGTCTGAAAGACAACAGAGAAGAGAGGTGAGAAAATCTCAGGTATGACCTTCTTCTATACCAGTTCTACCACACGACAGAAGCTTAACCTCTTGATGCCCTTTTTGCAATTTTGCAACAAACGCTTTGTATTACGTATACACCCAAGATAGCATGTGCTCTTACTTCCATTACAACGGTGTGTTCTACCATTAGCCGTTATAAATGTCACACAATTGTGTTTGTCTTTAAATAGAATGATAAAAACAAAACAGTTTGGCGTTGAGTTAAAGGGAAATAACCTTTTAATATATACAAAAACAGTTTTTGCAATCTCAGACTGTATCCTTTATGGATAAATTTCAAATATGTCTTTTCTTTCACTCCTCTTCCCCATTGTGATCCTTTTATTTTTCTATAAATGGAGCCTAGGCCGCCCTTCATCCGCCCTCGACACAGCCAATCAGCTTTGAATCACAACTCCACGAAAGCCAATCAGCATCCAAAGTTCATCTTAAAAGGCCTCCGATCCACAACTTGTTTGCTCCTGGTGCGCAGGCGGTAAATGCGCTGTGGGACTTCCTTCAGTTTCATTCCTTCTGGACTCTTCCTGCATTCCCTGTCTCACTTCAACAGGTCAGGCAGAAGACCGCCATGTTGAGCCTGGTTCTGCCAGAGGCTTCTTCCCAATGGGGGGTTTTTCTCCCCACTGTCGCTTTATGCTTGCTCATCATGGACAGGTTCTTTCAACCTGTGTTATCCAAGCTGGACTTCCATCTTCCAGGTCCCTGAGTGAAGCTCTAGTATCAGCTCATGCAGTCCACTGGATCGCTCCATAAAGCTCAGCAGACCGTCTCTCTAACCAGCAGTCTACAGACTGACCAACTTCATCTATCTCCACTCCACCACCAGTTTCAGGCCTGGGGGGGGAACTGACCTGTTCTTTACGCCTGTTCATTCATATCAATCAAAATCTAGTGCTGTTTCCTGCCGAGGTCTGAGCGCCAAAGACCAAGTAATTGTATCAATAAATTTCTTCTAATTGTCTTTTTTCTCCGTGTGAGTTTTTCCGATTGAACAGCAGCAAGGCCTCGGACACCGAGTATAATGTCTGTGTTTTGTCTTTTCTGTGTTTCTGTGTTCTTGGATGGGCTGTACAGACACACAGAGGCTGTACAGACACACACAGACTGCAATTTTTCCTTCTAGGATTTTTTTTATTTGAAATATACATATATATTAATGCAGGTGTCCAGGGGTTAAAGTAATTCCTTACATGTTTTCATGTTAAACTTGATATGATCACCTAAATGACCACCAAAACAGTTGAATCTGCTGCAGGAAGTGGTATTAATAAGGATTTTCTGTTTTGTTCACCTGTTCTCTGTTTCACGCGCTACAGCTCAGCTCAGCAGCCGGTCAGGTGACTTTCTGAGGACAACACTGAAGCTCTGGGGTACTTTGCGCTTAGGGAACAGGTTTCCTCTCCATGTTCATCAGGATTCTCTACTCATTCATTCAAATCATTATTTAAAGCTCCTCTTTTTTATCCTGGTGTTCATGTTTTTGGGTCGTTTGCATGAGTAGCTTTGTCGTTGTATGTCTTCTTAACTTTAGAACTGATGTATCTCAATGTTCAGCATTTTGGGTAAGTATTTTTAAATGTGCGTAAAAAAAAAATAATGGCAGCCAGGTTGCATAAGTACGCATATCGTTTAATAAAGAGCCTTTATTAATCAGTATCAGTGCTCAGTCTTAGTTCAGTCATTCATTCATTCTCTGTGGAGCCATCAGCCATCCTCCGTGGCGTGGTTCTTTACAGCGGCAGCTTATCTCCTGCTCGCGCTCAGATAAGCTCATCAAGAGGCCAGCTCTGTCCGACGATGCGCCCTGGACACAGTGCAGGTGGTGGGAGAGAGATGAACCCTGACAAAAATAACACAATGTGTCCCAGTCCATGCATGAGGCTGTTGCAGAGCTGTTTCACTGACAAACTGCTGCATCGTAAAAGCAAAAATGATTGTTCTCGCAGATCCTTCCTCCCTGCAGCTGTTAGACTTTATAACCCTCATTTTTTCTCACAAACCCAGTAAGTGTTTAAATCCCTGCTGCTTCGCCGTCTTTAACTTTCTAATAAAGTTTTGCTTGGAGGTTTACATGCATATATACAAACATTTTTGCACCGTTGTTAAAGTGACTCTTTTTTGTGCACCCTTCTTGATTTTTTTTACTTTGCTGTTATTAACTACTTTTAACTGTATTTTTCCTTATGCTGCGGCTTTTTTATTTTTGGGTTATTGTCTGCTTTCATCTGTATTTCACTTTGATGCTGAGACAAGCAGTTGTCAACAAATGGAGGGAGCTTAGACCTGCTCCTGGAACAAAAGCCGACCTGAGGTCGAGCCTCTTTTGCTAAAAGGTAAGATGCTGTGATAGAATTCTTATATTCATGAGAAAAAATGATCAGATATGATAACTTCCTCTTCTTAAACCGCTGATGTTATTCTAACCTGTCGCCAGAGGGGGCAGACTTCTGCAAAGAATGTAGAACTTCTGCTGTGCTCCTTTAAAGAAAAAATATGTTGCTTACTTATAATTAGCTGGTTTTATTACAACACATCCCATCAAACACATCTTCCTGATCTTCATCCTATTTAGACCAAACTTGTTGTAAAGTAAAAACTGAACGGATTTAATCCCCACAGAGCTGATTGGCTGCACAACACATTGCAAAATAAATAATACCCTCCCAGTATTACTGCATGCTTTGATGATATTCCAAAGGACTGTAGAGAATGGCTATCATATTCCAGCTGTGAGGAGTTTTCAGAGTGCATGTCGATCATTTGTTCAACCTGTGGGATAGATCATAGACGATCATGTTCATAGAGAGAGATGGAAGGAGCAACAGATTAGAAACAGGGCAAAGGAAGTGTGGATTGATTGCCTCTGATACTGGCATCACAATTTTTTAATATTTTTTTCTGTTATTGTGGACAAAAATGATGCATCTCTATCTGAATCCAAAAAGAGAAGCTTAGGGGTGCTCTGCTTTGATGAACACCAGGAAATGAGATCCTGTCGGTGCAGAAAAGCCTTGTCGGTCTGAAATATTCTGAAAATATGTTTGAGTCTTGGATTAGAGCCCCAGCCCAGAATTTAACAGAAGCCGGATGGTGGATCAAATCAGGCCATAAAAGATCCACTAAAAATTCCCAGAGAGCTGATCAATTTGATGGAGCTTTACGGTCAAAGAGGACAGCGACTCAGAAGATTCTGCCAAACAAATACGGAGCTTTTCAAGTTCCATCATATTCAAACAGATTTCCCTTTGTGAAGACAAAAGAGCCCAATAAACCAAGAATGTAAAGAATGGAGGACATGCAGATGTTGGCATGTTGCTTATGTAAAAGCGTCCTAGACTTTATGCAGACCTCAAAAACAACATATTTGGATAAAATCTGTATAAATCTGAAGCTGTAAAACTTCTCTACAGATTCCTATCTTATCCCCATTGATTCAAAGCCCAAACAAGCTCCAGCACACCGCTGTAATTCGATCATGTTTTGGTAGGCAGCTAAAATAACCATAACCGTGTGTGACTCCGAAACTCGCCTTTCCTTCATGAGTCCAACCAAGACTGTTTTGACAGAGAGACTTGGAAACAGATTTCCAGCAGCGTAAATGGCTGAATATTCTGGCAGGCAGCGGGAAGAAAACCAAGAGGAGAGTTTGCAAAGCTACGGTTTATCCAAAAGTCTAAAAACACTCCTGGAGCTGTAAAACTACGCTGGGAACTCTACAGATTTTCATACGAAGTTATGCAACAGCAAAAATCTCCTCTATCGTACATCTAACTGGCAATTTTCTGCTAACAGGGCCCTTACTTATCGCAGCTGTTAAGGTTGGAGACGTTAGCTCAGATCTTTTTGTCAGGAACATCATGGATGCAGCGGCTCATTGAGGTTTTTCTTTTTTTTAAAGGAATGTTTCAAAAGGAATGAAGCTTATGAAATCGTTGGTTTTCCCTCATCTACAGACTACCTGGCTGCTGTTCTTCCACTTCACTTCTGCTTGGTTAAACAACCACAACAAAAGGATCCATAAAAGAGCATAATCCCAGGAAGTGTTAAAACTTTTATCTTAAACCAACAGAAGGAGTCAGAACACCAATCTGAGGTCTGCCTAACTGTGTTCCTCACAGACTTCCTGAGAAAAACAATTTCACAGGATGTTAACAAATTAGCTTTTCCGAAAGTCAGTCTGTCTTCGCAGGACGAGAAGAAGAAAAGCAGCATTTATCACCTTTCAAAATGACTTAATTGGTTAAAGCTATTTATCATCATCCCCATTGCAAAAAAATAAGTGCATTTTTCTTATATTGAGGGGGAAAGGGAGATACTTTGCATATGGAATAAGACAATTTACATTTAAAATAAGTAAAAGCCATTGCATTGTCTCATTTCAAGTGCATATTATCTAATTACTTTATTTTAAGAGTAAAAATCCTCATTCATTACTCATTGGCTCATTACCTACTCAAATTAAGGGTAAATACACTTGATTTAAGACATTTTACTTATATCTAGACCATTTTTGCAGTGTGTGGAGGATTTCGATGGAGCTTTTGGATCAAGCCCTGCTTTGTTTAACAGTGTGACCAATCACTGAACGGTTCAGCTAGTTTAAAGCAGGTGGACGGTGAAGGAATAACAAGAGAACAGGAAGGCTGCAGCTCTAAAGAAATGCTGTATGAAGAGAGAACATGAATGTATATTTTCTTAAAGAATACAGACTTTTGGCAGCCAATCCTTCATCAGATGAGTCAGGAAATAAAGCTCATACTAACAGGTTTTCATGCACTTTCCCTCCAAGCACTCAGCCAAATACGCTAGATGGAGA